AAAAATAAAGCAGGTTTAGTCTAGGGAAAAAAATAAGAAGGATAAAACTAAGACAAATGCAGAGAAAATACTTACTAGTATAGCTCTTTATTATACGTTTAAAGCGCTGGGGCTACCATTTGTTGAAGCGGAGGTAGGCGTCTCTATCTACAAGTTCCACCTTACACTGCCTCTGAGTAGTGAGTGGAATGGCTATCTGGTTAATAGCCTCCCTGTCTAGTAGCTCAACGCTGATTTGGGGGGACAGGCCCCTAGGGGTGTACTGGCTCAGTCCGAACTGGCACTCCATTAGTTAAGCATGGTAAGACTCCCAATATACCTTGAGAGACTTGGAGGAGGAGCCAGTGAATAGCAACCACATCTTTCAAGGAGTAGTGGCTGAAAGAAAGATATCATCCCGCAGGGGCTTGGCAAGCTTATTCTTCTTCTCCACCATATACTTGTACCAAGTTTGAAGGTGACGGTCGAGGATGTTGAAAGCTTTTTAGGTCCTCCCCAAAGACTAGCTTTGCTAATAGAAGAACTTGAAGAAGTTCTTCAACTTGATCAGCGGATGACCACCTAAGAGACAAGTGAAAGGATGGTTGGTGCGGGAATCGTTTGGAAATGGCTCCCGCCAAAGATTGGGAAAGTAGGCCATCGTCCATAACTTCAAAAACCAGACAGACCCATGGAAGTTACTAAAGGGTTTCTTAGTCAGCGACTCCCTCATGCCATCGTAGAGATGGCATAAAAACATAGTCCCCAGGGCTATTTGGTTGCCATAGAGCAGGGACTGGGTGATCCTCAGGTTGTAGTTGCATAGGCTTCCTTCCCCCCGGGGCCAGGATCCATTAACTCAATAGGATCCATATGAAGACTAGATGCTCCATAGCAGTGACAGGCTTAGAGGCTGGCTTCTCGAAAAACAGCTCCATAATCTTCTTTTAAGAGCCTACACTCTTAATCTTGATCTCCAAATCAGCAGGGAGGGCGGTGTAGGATTGGTATTTCTTAGGGATCATGTAGAAGTTCTCCTCCCCGGCAATAGGCAGCCCCAGGAACATGAAGACATCCCATAGTGTAAGGGACATCGAGCTGAGCTCGAAGATGAAGGCATTACAGCTTAGAGCCCAGAAGCTGAGGAAGGCCGTTAGAAGCTCCACAAGGATGTCGACATCGGCCAGAGATAACTTAATCAGGTCATATAGACCCATCTCTTTTTACTAAGGTGCATGTTTTGACTTCAAATGCCTCACCCAATTGACCCAAGCATGAGGAGACCGAGGCCAATTCCTGAGCTTTCTACAAGATGACTCGAGGAAGGGTGAGGTCATCCGAGCCAAGACCAAGTTGCAAATAGAGGTCAGTGACCATGGATTTGGTTGTGTAGGAGCAGTGACTTTAGATAGGTCGGGAGAGATTATCAAATACCTGACGTCACTCTTGTTAGAGATTTGGAAACTCCAAGGCAAAATGCTGGAAAAAATGAAGCATAGTTATAATATATTTCAATAAAATAGAAGGGCTAAACGTAAGAAGCGAGAAACTTACCAAAATGCCACTGATTCATGGAATGAAGAATCCTCCTAAAAAGAAATGAACGAATATTAGAACGGGAAACCAATCTAAAGGAAAAAATAGTTTTTCAAACCACTAAATACATACTATCATGACCTTGCCAAGGGGGTTAATCGGGTTCCGGATAGTCGCCAGAGAATCTGGTACACTACCAGCAGAAGTCGAAGAAGGTGCGGCGGTAAAAGAAATGGAAAAAAGCAGAAGAAGCCATTTGAAAGTTGGGTAAGAGAAAATGTAGTGGACTAAAAACTTGAAGTTCAAGAAATGGCAAAGAGAGCAAGAAAAGTGACCAAAATAAAGAAACGAGTTTATATTAGCAAAGAGAGCTCAAAAGTGAGCGACATTTCAGTTTTTTCAAACATGCCACGTGGCTTACGTTACCAGCCATTGGCACGCGGGAGGCATTGTTTAGACTAAATATGAAACGTCACTCAAATAGGCCATAAGGTTAGTTGGGCTGAGTAGTTGAAGTGTCAGGCCCAATATAAACAAAAGGGGCCGGCCCTGAAGCTCAATAAAGTTCACAACAAGTAAACATGCTAAAATCTCATCAGCTATAAATATTAGACTATAGGCACGAATGCACGATCCTAAGTAATGCCGAAATTTTATGCCCAAGCAGTTCAGTGAAATAGGCTGGTTATCAAAATGGAGAGACTGTGCCATAAGTTTCATGAGATTCCTAATTCTTCAACAGAACGTGCTAAGTTCTAAGGAAAGGGCTTCCGTTATTCAACAATGTAAATAGAAAGAAGAAAACAACAGAGGAATCTAGTCAACAATCTATCAAGACTTGCACATTTTAAATTCATTAGCCCTTTTTAATTCTTAGTTTTTAGTCTGTAATTTTTTGCACTTCAATAAAATCATACACTTGTTCTACAAAAGCTTTGTATATTTTTACATTTGAATGAACTATGGTAAGAAAACTCAGGACCATTTTCGTTATCTATTGAGACTTAGTATCTCTGGTATACGTGGTATTTATTGTTTAACTACGAACACTTTCTTATATATCTCAAAACATTCAGGAATAAGTTGCTTGAGCTTGCCAATATGTAATTAAAAAAAGAGGGCGGCAGCCATGATTTCCCATGTTGATTATGAACATTTATAGATTCCAATTAGATGTTATACTTTTAACCAAAAAGGAAAAAGGTATAGTGATCAAATTAATTTTGTAAGTGAAAATATATATTTTATATTTTAATTAAAAATATTAAAATAATTATTACTAATCATCAATAATATGAATATAAGAGCTAAATATCGGTCTTGTGTTTACAGACAAGGCATAACGTAAATTTTTCTCCCAAGACCAAGATAACTCAATCCCATTATTGAATTACAAGAGTACTGAGTCTGACACAGTAAATTAATCCATGTCGCTTTCCTTCAGTTATTTATGTCTTCAGAGCATCATTTTCAACGATGCACGAGAGCTAATGTAACAATAGAAAACTCCAAAGTTACATGCGGGGTGCGTGAAGAGTTTTGAGGCTTAAAGTAAAATTATCATAAAGGTTTAATGTATATTATAATTTATGAATTATATAATTTTTCATTAAGCCTAAGTTTTATGTTAATTTCAATTGCGGTTGGTAAAAAAATCATTGTAGTAATTTTCTTAATTCCAAAACATATGCAAGGCCATTTTTCTTATAATTACAGTTTTTAATGAATAAGTGGTAAGATCGTGTTTTTTTTTTTTTTGCCAGAGTGGTAAGATCTTATTTATGATGTATCATATATTCCCAGTATAGCATACTACAAATAAGATCATGATATTTTTGACAAAAAAATCATGATATTAATTAATTTTTAAGAGGAAAAATATCACTAGGTCCTGTATATAAATATTATCTCCATCCCAAATTATAAGACACTTTTTGGAGAGATTCAACATTTCAAAATATAAAATATTTTAATAAAAATAAAGTTTCATTAATAGTATTTTTTTAATATTATCTTTCTCATATATTCTTTCTCTTTAATATTTTATCATTAAATTAAGAATATTTTTACAAATTTATATTTTTTTAAAAAAGCAAGATATTAAAGTATAGTTGATGAACTTTATTGATATGTATAATTTAAAATAAAAGTGTTTTATAATTTAGAATATAAGGGGTAATTTTTTAATGAATCCCAACGTAAATTATAGCCAAGACTTCTCCTTACTATGATTACAATATGGAGGAACACCTTTTTACCCTAATCAATGTCCACTTTTTTTTTTAATAATATAAATCATGTCGGTAATAAAGATTATCTTAGACATCTTTCAACTATTCACATATACAAAGCTTAAGATTTGAATCCCAAATCACTTTATTAAATAATAAAAGTTCTTATCGCTCACATCAATATAAATTATCAAATGGATGTCCATTTTTACCAATAATATTTCAAATCTATATAGGCCAGCTATGTTTGTTTTGAAAGTCCGACCCCTTTTCCACACGTGCTTTGTTGACAAATATGTCGAGAACGCTTGCTAACGTGCTGTACAGAAAAAGGCATTATGTACTGGTACCTCACCAATACCCTATAAAAAGATAAAAGCAATAAAAATATATAAAATTTTATATATATCTCTATATAAAAAATTAAAAAAAATAATATTATTTTACTTTTTTTATAAAAGATAATTTTAAAAATATATTTTAAATATTACGTAACAAGTTTTATCATAACTTATAAATAAGATCACATATGACTTATAAATAAGATCAAATAAATTTTATAAAATGTATCTTATAAATGAGATTAGAGATAGTAGTTTGTATAAGTTGTTGGTACTTTGAGAATGAAAGAACTAACTAACATTTCTATAATTATAAAACAAAAAAATTTAAAAGGACAAATTTACCCTTTAAACTATATGTTTATGAGTGTGCAGGACCTTAATTAAACTCTTTTTTGTGCATTGTTTTTCCTTTTAACATTTAAAAATAGTGTAATATTAATAAAAATTAATATTGATTGTTAGTTGACAAAAGAATGACCTTAAATTATAGAACATAACTAAAAAATTACAAAAAATAATTATAAATTATAAATAAGTACTATATGAGAAAATTCATATATGTCTGGTAATTTTTGTGTCCCTTTCTATAATTGTTTTGGTTTTTTTTATAATTTTTGAGATCATTTTCTAATTAATTAATAATTAAAACTAACTTTTGTTAGTAGTAGGAATAATATCGCACATTTTTCAAATGTTAAAGGAAAATATTATACTAGAAAGGAATTTAGGATTCTTAATGTTCTTAAACCTACAATTTGAGGGCAAATTTTCTCTTAGACAAAAAGGTAAAAAAAAAAAAAATTGAAGAGAGAGAATATGGTAAGTATGAAATACACTCCCAAAATCACCCAATAGTCTCAATTGTCTGTAGTAATTACTAGTTATTTTCGCCTCTAGACTTGCTAACAACTTATACATAGATCAAGTTCTTAATTATTATTATTATTTCAGAGTGAGACATAGATATTGAATGTACATGGCCCAATTTCATGATCACATGAAAGCATGCATGGCATTAGAGCTAAGAAACGAGATTGAGGAATGAAGGTTGATAGGCGATAAGGACAAAGAGAATGAGGAGGACAAAGGCGACGCCCCAAGGGGAGCCTCCGGCTCGGTGGATGGCGGCGGGTTCAGATCCCGGCATGGGGAAGTTGAGCTGAGTACCTGAGGAGAGGCAGTGGACAACGATGATCAACAGCAACGGCGAAATGATGAGAAGGCGCTGAAGCAGCTCGGAGGCGGTGGCCATGACGGCGTCGTAGATAATGTAGCTGACAGATCCACATATAAGAGCCGTGGCGGCCACAAGAAGCCAGTGCTCTGTGAAACTGAACCTTGAAGAAGCCATGGTGGTTATCACACAGATTTACTGATGACGATGAAGAAGAAGAAGAAGAAGGGATGGTGAGTAATGAGGAAGTGAGTGAGAGACAGTGAGAGTGGTCTCCACTATACTGTCACTGAATTGTGTGAAGAAAAGTAGAAAACTCATAGCAGTACGATCTATGCCAGCTGTCTTCTTTTGGATTTATCCTGCTCAATCAATGGAGTTTTGAACAGTGGCTGTAATTTTCCAATGCACTGGATGGTAACTATTGGGGTTTAAGGGCAAAAATATGTGAGAATTTTTGGGAAAATTATATTTAGATTTTATATAAGAAAATTTATTTTCAAGATATCTTATAAAATTTATAGAGAAAAAAATTTATATACTTAACCTTATATACTTAATGTATTTATTTTTAATCAAATCAAAATATGTGAATCTTATATATAGATTATTTATTTTATAAAATTATTGTTATTAATTTTATAAATATGTTAAGATCTATTTGTCATAATTTAATTGGATATAAGTATATAAGGTTAGGTATATAAGTCATAATTTATTCTATCATAAATTATTGTTATTAATTTTATTAACCACTTGTCATAATTTAATTGGATATAAATATAAGGCTTAGTATATAATATTTACCTATTCATAAAATACTTTTAAGTTTCAAATCTTGTGTATTTACAACTTGACAAAATATATTTACAACTAGTTAATAAACATTTACAACTTACAGAGGAAAATAACAACTTATAATAATAAGTTATAAATGCTCGTTGCTCAATTATAAATACCATTTGTCAAGTTATAAATGTACAAAATTTGGGACTTGAAAATATTTTATCAATTTTATGAGATTTTTCAATAATAAATTCTCTTTTGTAAGACTTTGGTGTAAGTTTTCTATTTTTAAGAATACCCAGTATTTGTAATCAAACAAAAGTGTAGCAATTTTCATGAATTTGTTTTACTTAGTGCAACAATTTCCGTCCCATTAAATTTGACAAACATTCATTAACATTAACTGTTAAAAAAAAGGAAGTAAATATAAAGTGTAAAAGTACTCAGAAACTTTTTCTCTCTGAGTTTTTAATTTTCTTAAGTCACCAATGGTGTATGGATAGTCTAAAAGATTAAAAAAAATTTCTTACTTCAACCTTATTTCGGTTGCCCAAATAAATATAAAAAATTCAAGCTAAGCTCAAATCTAAATGAGCTTAGCATGAATACCCAAGTTTTTTGTTATTAATAAATAAAATTAAAATTAAATGAAAATTAAAAATATTAATTTATTTACTTAAGGATATTGAGCATTTCAAAAGAAAAAATTGCTCGATATTTTTTCCTTTAAAAGTTTTGGACAATAGCTCTCACTTCTTATTATATTTAAATGTGTCATTTTTTTATAAATTATTTTCTATATGATACTTTCAATTATAGAATTGGCATTGGAATGGTCTCGTCATTCTATTATTATTAAAAAATAAATTTCTTTTTTTTAATTTATAATGTTCGAATTTGAGATTTTATTTGGAGAGAATCTTAACCGGGGGCCCATAAGGAGAATAATTGCATGCAAGCCCCATCTAGATCTAAAATTTATATCTACAGAACTTAGGCTCCTAGCTGGAATCAAATCTCTTCATGGCTGAATTACTGAAATGACCTTGGTTCGTCAAAAAAGGAAAAACAAATTACCATGGACGCCGGCACTAGTAGAAAATAGGCCATATACACTCACCTGTCTACACTGATTCAGGCACACAATATGCAGAAATAAGAGGTGGTAGTATTTTTGTAAATAAATAGCAATCTAACATGATATCTATACTGGTTCTATGCATAAGCAGTGTAGATATAGATATCTAAGTCTGCTACACGTGGAACTGATGTAGACATATTATATATTTATTTTTTAAAAAATTCACGAGATATTACACTGATTACTCATATCACCGATGTAGATATATTATATATTTATTTTTTAAAAAGAAACTTGAAATATCTACACTAGCTATTTGTGGAATTAGTATTAATATATTTTTTAATTTATACAAAATTATTTTCCAATATAACTACACCGGTTAGTACATGTAACCAAGGTAGATAATTCTATATCAACACCAGCTATTCTGTATAACTAGTGTAGGTGTGAATTTAAATCACTCTTTTTTGCCTTTCTTTGTTTATTCTTCATTATCGTCGTCTCTACTCAGAAACCCAACATCTTTGTATCATGCTCATGCTCATATCATCAATTCATCTAGGTTCTGTTCATGGTTTGGTTCTCTAATTCTAACCTTAAAAACCCAAAATATACGCTTATGCTCGTGCTAGTGCTTGTGGTTTGGTTCTTTAATTCAATCTCATTTCATGGTTCATTGATTCTAATCTCAAAAACCCAATAGGCTATTTAACCCAAAATCTCTCCTTATGCTCATGTTCGTGGTTTGGTTCTCTAATTCAAACCCATTTCATTTCTCAAAATCATTTACATTTCACTGAGCTTCATTCATTGATTCAAACCCATATTGTCTAATTCATTCACTGATACTAAGCTTGGTGGCCTGCTTCTCCTGCTCCTTTAATTCTTTTCTAACTTTGTCGCATGTATTCGAGCAACCCAAAATCCCAAGTATTTTTTTTATTTTTGAGTTTTAATCTTCTGGTTTCCTATATGTTGATATCTTATTGATTCTAGCTTCCCTTTGAATGTGGTTTTAATTTTTCATTTTCATGTATGATTGATTCTGGCTTTCCTTTAATTCTAGATTTAATTTTTCATTTTTGTGTATGATTAATTTTGGCTGAGTGGCTTCCCATGAATTTGTTCATTGAGTTTGAATCGATTTTAGGTGTTAAACAATTATGAAAACTTGTTGCTTAGTTTATGTGTAATTAATTGAACCAATACCCATGGCCACAGACCTAGCTCTGCTTCAGGCTGCCCAAATGCCCCCACTAAGTTTTAAAAAAAATTGCATGCACACAATGTTAAGCTATCAGTTATGCCCCCACAAACATGCTAATTTTGAAGCCACTGATCTCAATTCAATCCTAACAAGGACAATGTATAAGATGCACAATCTCTTATAGAGATTGAGTAAGATTGAGATGAAATAGATATGGAAGTTTTATGTTGGGTAATTTATAATTATGGTGTTGTTTTATCATTTGATTTTGAGAATGTATTTAAGGTATTTGACAAATTAGATGAAAGAAGCATGATAAATTTAAATTATGGGTGTTTGGAAATTTGTTGGGCAAGATGCTATTGATTATGAGTAAATTTTGTGTTGTCAAATTTTTGAAAAGTCTAATATTTAGGGGAGACTCTATCAATTTTTTTTAAACCATGAGTGTTAGCTAAATTTGTTTGGAACTGTTAGCTTAATCAATAGTAGTCTTTGCGTTAGTATAACTTAGTCTTTGTTAACTAAAGTACTGGTAGAGAAGGCCAGAGGCCTTTAGGAATTGCATGATTGTTTTTTTTGTCAATTATAAATTTATTAGAAAATCCAATATTTAGGGAAAAACTCTACCAAAATTTTTTAAAATCATGAGTGTTGGGTAAATTTGTTTCCCTTTTTCCCTCCAACTTAAATTGAAAATTAAAGTCTTAGCATGCTTGTTTCCTTTTTTTTAATATAAATCTTGTTTGGTCCTATCCTAACGGATTTAGTAATAATCCATGTGTTTTAGGAAAACAAATTAAATATGAATTATAGTTGCATAGATGCTAAACAAATGAGCCTAGAGTATGCTAATAGGGTTAAGGGGTTTTTGAAATTTTCTTAAGGCAATGCTGAAGATGATAGTGGGAGTTTTTATTTGAATGAGAGGTGGCTAAGTGTAGATAAGATATATGAACACTTAATTTGTGAGGGGTTTCTTAAAAGTTATAAAGTATGAATATGGCATGATAAAAGACTAAGCATGCCGATGCCAAGTACATTTCAATCATGGAATGTTGTTGTTGTTGTTGATGATGATGATATATGTGATCGGTTTGAGGACATAATCCATGATGTGGGTAAAGAGGCTTTTGAGCAATCCCAATCATATAATAATATGTAGTGATGCAGAGACACCTTGGTACTCAAGGTGTGAGGAATTTAGTTTGTTGAAATCATAAATTAAAAAAAGCTAGATTTGGGTAGAGCGATAAGAGTTTCACAAAAATGCTTGAATTGTTCAAATTATGCTTTAAAAAATGTGTTGCAGGTTCATTACTACGAGGAGAAGAAAATTCTATGCCCATTGGGCATGAAATTTTAAAAATACACCCATGTTCAAATGATTGCATATTGTACAAGAAAGAGCATAAAGAAGAGTAGAAGTGTCCAGTATGTGAGACGATAAGGTATAAAGAGAACCAAGCTTTTGTGAAGGTGCTATGATATCTTTCAATTATATCAAGATTTAAATAATTGTTGATGTTGGAAATTGTGTTTAAGGCCAATCATTGTACTATGTACATTGTTATTTAATGAATTTCTATTTTGTTATCATATTAATTGCATTTTCACTATGATAATTGTATCCTTAAATAAAATAATTATTTTAAATGCCCCTAGTCGGTCATCTACGAGGGATCATAGATGAAACAAGACTAGTATGACTTTGATTAATTATAAAGATATAAATCAAATTCATAGGTACTTGACTTGAAAGGGTACAAGATGTTAGACCAACCCGCTTTAAGAAAGTTTCATAGTACAAGTCATAAACTTATCTCATATGTAACCATGTCATTAAGCCCTTTATCTGAGATCATCATGGATTCTTACATGATGACCACTAAAGTTTGACCTAGTCAAAAGTCACCTTTAATCGGGTGATCATAAAGGATATGATTAAGTTTAGTGATATTCTTGTAGAAGAACATGAGTATTCAAGATGGAATTTGTCCCTCATATTAATTAAGAAATATTACTGAGCCCCTCGATAAGTAAGACTGAGAAAATGTATGGCCATACTATAATGGAAAGAGTTTTTCCATTACTATGATCAATCTACTCAGAGATCGAGAAAGTGATGGTCAGGTAAATGGAAATGACAATTCCATGTCTCACATTTGATTAAAATATTACGTGAT